CACGTGCCCCACGCGCTCGTGCCCCACGTATCTGTCCCTGTAATGGCCACATCCCCCACGTCCCCCCCCCCCGTCCCACCATGTCCCAGTGCCCCCCATACCCCCCATACCCCCATACCCCCCTACCCCTGTCCCACCACCGTGTCCCCATGTCCCCATATCCGTGTCCCACCATGTCACCACGTCCTCCGTGTCCCCCATGTCCGTGTCCCACATGTCCCCGTGTGCTCCGTGTCCCCCCATGTCCGTGTCCCACCATGTCCCCGTGTGCTCCGTTCCCCCCATGTCCGTGTCCCATGTCCCGTGGTGCTCATGTCCCCCCCATGTCCGTGTCCCACCATGTCCCCGTGTGCTCCGTGTCCCCCCATATCCGTGTCCCACCATGTCCCCGTGTGCTCCATGTCCCCCCATATCCGTGTCCCCCATGTCCCCGTGTGCTCCGTGTCCCCCCATGTCCGTGTCCACATGTCACCACGTGCTCCATGTCCCCCCCATCCGTGTCCCACCATGTCACCACTGCTCCATGTCCCCCCCATATCCGTGTCCCACCATGTCACCACGTGCTCCATGTCCCCCCCATATCCGTGTCCCACCATGTCACCACGTGCTCCATGTCCCCCCCATATCCGTGTCCCACCATGTCACCACGTGCTCCATGTCCCCCCATATCCGTGTCCCACCATGTCACCACGTGCTCCATGTCCCCCCATATCCGTGTCCCACCATGTCACCACGTGCTCCATGTCCCCCCATATCCGTGTCCCACCATGTCACCACGTGCTCCATGTCCCCCCCATATCCGTGGCCCACCATGTCACCACGTGCTCCATGTCCCCCCATATCCGTGTCCCACCATGTCACCACGTGCTCCATGTCCCCCCCATATCCGTGTCCCACCATGTCCCCGTGTGCTCCGTGTCCCCCCCATGTCCGTGTCCCACCCCGTCCCCATATTTTCCATACCCATGTCCCACCACGTCCCACCACGTCCCTGTGTCCCCCATACCCACGTCCCCTGTTTCTGGGCCCTCCCTTTTGTGCCCCACCCGTGTCCCTGATGTCCCCGTGTCCCCACCCGTGCCCCAGGTGCCGCTGCCGCCATGGACCTGCTGTTTGGGCGCCGGAAGACGCCGGAGGAGCTGCTGCGCAGAACCAGCGAGCGCTGCCGCGCCATGAGGGAGCTCGACCGCGAGCGGCAGAAGCTCGAGGCGCAGGAGAAGAAGATCATCGTCGACATCAAGAAGATGGCCAAGCAGGGCCAGATGGTGAGGGACACCGAGGGGGGCGCGACGGGACGTGGAGGGCACCAGGAGGCTGCCGTGGGGAGCAGGGGACACGGTGGGGGAACCACGGTGGGGACGTGGAGGAGATTGGGGAGCACGGTGGGACCAGGGGGCATAGAGGGGGCCTGAGGGGACAGTGGTGGGACTGGGAGGACCACAGTGGTGACCAGGAGACCGTGGAAGGGACTCGAATGCTGGGGGAGACCGGGGACCGTGGTGGGGAGTAGAATGTGGGACTGTAGAAGTCCCCAGGTGACCACGTGGGTACAAGGGGACCAGGAAACTGCTGAGGTGGTGGCGGGGACCGTGGTGGACACAGAGGGGATCCTGGAGAACCCCAGGACCTCGCGGGGGACCTCACGCCGCTCGATGTCTCCCCCTTGGCCATCAGGACGCGGTGAAAATCCATGGCGAAGGACCTGGTGCGGACACGACGGTACGTGAAGAAGTTCATCACCATGAGGGCCAACGTCCAGGCTGTGTCCCTCAAGATCCAGACCCTCAAGTCCAACAACTCCATGGCCCAGGCCATGAAGGGCGTCACCAAGGCAATGGCCACCATGAACCCAGGTGGGTGCCCTGGGGACGTCCCGAAGCTGTGGCCACTGTGAGCTGTTCCATGAGGATGTCCCCAAGCTTGTGGCCACTGGGAGGTGCCTGGGGTGGCCATGGGGATGTCCTTGAGCATGTGGCCACCGCCACCTGCCCTGCAGTGGCTCTGAGGACATCCCGAGGGCTGTGGCCACCACAAGCTGCCCCAGGGAGACCCTCGAGACTGTGGCCACCACAGGTTGCCCTGGGCTGCCCGTGAAGATGTCCCCAGCCCATGGCTACCACCAGCTGCTTCAGGGGGACATCCCGGTGGTCGTGGCCACCACGAGCCGCTGGGGTGGCCGCGAGGATGTCCGTGAGACCCTGGTAACCATGAGCGCATCAGGGGATGTCCCTGAGGCCACGGCCACCAGAAAACCACCCAAGGTGGGCATGGGGACGTCCCCAAGACTGTGGCCACCTGAGTTGGCCATGGGGACACACCCAAGGCTGTAGCCACTGTGAACTGGCCGGCGTGGCCCCGGGACATCCCCCTGTCCCCGTGTGCCACGCGCCGCGCTCCTGTGTCCCCCCCCCAGCTGAAGCTGCCCCAGATCCAGAAGATCATGATGGAGTTTGAGAAGCAGGCGGAGATCATGGACATGAAAGAGGAGCTGATGAACGCGCATCGACGACGCCATGGGGGACGAGGATGATGAGGAGGAGAGGTGGGGGGGGGATGGGGTCCGGTGGGGGGGGCGGGGATGTGGTGGTGTGGGCGCAGTGGGGAGAGGGACGGGGACACTGGGGTGGGAGGTTTGGGAAGGGGACGTGAGGGGGGGGGGGTCACGGGGGTACATGGGTGACGTGGAAGGGACGTGGTGGTGGTGGGGGGGACATGAGGGATGGAGACGTGGAGGACATGGGTGGGGACGGAAGACAGGGACATGGGTGGGGACGTGGGGTGACACAGACACGGGGGGACACGGGCGATGTGGAAAACAGATGTGGCGGGGTGGGGACACGGGTGACGCGGAAGGGACTGGTGGGGTGGGGACACGGGGGGGCACAGCGGGCGTGAGGGGACGGGAAGGTGGGGACGTGGCTGAGGACACGGGGGACACACGTGGGGACAGCCTGGGTGGGCTGGGGAGGGTTGGGGGGGGGGCGGGGGGGCGATATGGGATGCTGGGAAGGTTGAGGACCCCCTGGGTGGGGACAGAGCGGGTCAGGGGATGGTTTTGGGGAGGGGGGGGTCCCGGTGTCACACCCCACCCCTTTGTCCCCCCCCAGCGACGCGGTGGTGTCACAAGTGCTGGATGAACTGGGGCTGAACCTCACCGACGAGCTGGCCAGTGAGTTGGGGGGGGAATTTTTTTGGGGGGGGAATTTTTTTGGGGGGACAGTTGGACACCTTGGGGGGGTATTTAAGGTGCCATGGGGGGGTGTGGGGGGGGAATTTTAGGGGTAGGGGTGTGTGTGGGGGGAGTGATGGGTGGTAGATACAGCTGGGGGGGGCATGGGGGTGGTAGTTAGGGGCTGGGGGGTATTTTGGGGGTACTTAAGGGGCTTTGGGGGGCTGTAGGGAAATGGGGGGGGCATTTTGCATGCCCGGGGGGGTGTGGGGGGGGGATTTGAAGGATAATTCGGGGGCAGGTGGGGGTCTGGGAGGGTGTCCCAAGGGATTTTGAGGGAGGGGATTTATCTGGGGGGGGGGTGGGGTGGGTGATGGAGGGTGGCGACCCCCTGACCTCTGCCCTTTGCCCCCAGCCCTGCCCCCCCCGGGGGGGTCGCTAGCCGCGGGGGAGGGGCGGGCGCCCGAAGCCGCGGCCGCGTTGGCCGACGCCGACGCCGACCTGGAGGAACGGCTCAAGAACCTGCGCCGGGACTGACCCCTGACCCCTGACCCCTGACCCCGGACCCCCCCTCAGCCCCAGACCCCCCGGGGTTAACCCCCGCTGCTCTGCGACCCCGCAAATTGACACCCTCGCCCCCCCCCCCCCTTCCTCCACCTTGACCTTTAGTGACCCCGTAACCCCCCCCCCCCCACCAGGGGCTGACCCCGGGTGACCTTCAACCCTGCCTGACCCCCCCCTGGGCTGGGGGGGGGCGGGGGGCACACCAGACACTACAGCACCCCAGCCCCCCGGGGGTATTTCCCCCCATCTTCTGGGGCATTTCCCCCCCCCCCCCGGCATTATTTGCCCCTTTTATCTGGGTTATTGACTCTCTCCTGGGGTATTTCCCCCCCTCCGGGGTATTCCCCCCCCCCCCGTATTTTCCCCCTTTATTTACATTATTGACTCTCCTGGGTATTTCCCCCCCCCCCCCCCCCAGTATTTTCCCCCTTTATTTACATTATTGACTCTCCTGGGTATTTCCCCCCCCCCCCCCCCCCCAGTATTTTCCCCCTTTATTTACATTATTGACTCTCTCCTGGGGTATTCCCCCCCTGGGAGCTCTTTGCCCCAATATTTCCATTATTTGCCCCCTCTTGGGGTATTTGCACTCCCCCCCCCCGCCCCCCCCCAAGGCTATTTGCCCCTTTTGGGGGTATTTTCTCCCCCCCCCGGGGCAATAAGGCCGCACGTTGGTACCTGCTGCCTCCCCCCGGCTGCTTCCTGGGCGGGGGGGGTGCCCAGTGCCCCCAGTAAGCGACTGGGAGCACTGGGGAGGGACGGGGGGGGGGGTTGGTGGCTGCTCTGTTGGGGGGGGGTCGGGGTGGGGGGGGTGGGCCCGGCCGCATGGATTCATCGGGGGGGGGGGGGGGGGAGGGGGTGTCGGTTTGGGGTCCCGGGGAGCTGGGTTCCTCCCCCCGTTCGGAAGCTGCTCTGGGTGCTGGGAGGGGGGGTTGGTTGGGTCGCCCCACGTGGCCCCCCCGGCCTCGCCGCTCGGCATCCCACTGCTGCGCCAGCGCTTCGGGGCGGGTGAGGAAACGCCGCACGGGTCTGGCAGCCACGACCCCCTTTGGGGGCAGAACCTCCCCAAAACGCTGGGTCCTCGCTGCACAAACTTCCCTTTTTTTTGGGGGGGAAATCCCCAAATTGAGCGTCTGCACGGATTTGGGGTCTGTTGGCGGAATGTTTTGTGGCCTGCAGTTGTGGGGGTGATCTGACTTGGCTCGAATTTGCTTTGATGCGCAGGTTTGAAGTAGAAAATGGAGATTATTTTTTTAAAAAGGGATTTTTTTTTTTTTCCCAGCATGGGGAAAACTAGGGATTTATGTGATTTTTCCAGAAATACTGATTTCTGAGCAGCGTTTTGGGGGGAGAGGAACCATTCTGGGTGTGTGAAACCTCCCGGCCGCCTGGCGATGGGTGTTCATGCCACTCGCAGGCGCTTTTTGAGTGTCAGTAACAGAATTTTTTCAGAAAAACCAACCCACGATGCTAAATTTCCGCAAAAAGCAGAAAAATGGCGTAATTTCCGCTATCAGTCATCATCACCTGGGTTTTCTTCTTTTTTTGTTTCGCATTTATTTGCACTTCTCTTCCCGTTCAGACTTTGGCCTTTCCCAGGGCTCGCGTGTCCCCGGGCGAGCTCGAGCTGCGCTGGAAAACGCCGCTCAGGGCAAGAGGTGACCCAAACCGGACCGAAAACACCCCAAAAAAGGGATTTACATCCGCGCAGGAGCAGAGGCCAGGTAGGGAGCACAGCGTGGGCCAGCGAGCTGCGGGCGCGCGCCGGTTGGGATTTGCATTGAGCCCACGGCAAAACATCCAGCGGAACCCAAAACGGTTGGGTTTAGCCCCAAAACGTGGAGCTGGGCGTTTGGGAGCCCCTGAGGAGCAGCGGGAGCCCGGCCCCCGCGAATGCGGAGCCGTCGGGGCCGCTCCGCTGCGGTGGGAGGAGGATGTGGTTGTGGGGCTGGTGGAATGGAAAAGTTTGTTTATTAAAAATATCTATTGAAACCGCAGCCTCCGGAGGTGGCCGGCGGGATGTCACTGCCTGAGGTACGGTGCCTTGCGGGGCGCGGTTTTGGGTTATTTGGGGGATTTTTAGCCGCTCAGGGGAAAAAGGGGATGCTCCCTAACTCCTGGGAAATAATTATTTAAAAAATTAAATAATAAAAGAAATACAATTTTTTAAAAAAAAAAGAGCTCTCACGAGCGGGTGCTGTGTCGCGTTCCCCAGCCTCTCCCCTTTCGCAGCCTTCCTCCCCCGCCTTGGTTAAAACTTAAAGCCCCGTCCAGGCGGGATTTCACCCCAAAAACTGGATGGACAAAGGGACGTCAGGAAACCTGGATCCAGGACAAGCGTTGGCGCTGGGGCGCGGGATGGGGAGCGGGTGCTCGGAGGGGTCACATCTCCCCCCCTGCTCTTCCCCACAGCTCTTCCTCGCCGCCGCCCTCCTCCTCCTCGCCCGCGGAAGCAGCGGGGCCGATGGAGCCGCCGAAAGCGCGCCGGTGGGAGTGGGGGGAAGGAGCGCTCTGCGGCCCCCGCGTGAGTCTTGCTCTCTGGTGGGTTGGCCCTGGCTGGCGGGTGGACGCTCGCTGCCCTTCCCTGGCCGGAACGGGGAGGAAAGGAGACCAAAACGCTCGTGGGTTGAGATAAAGCCGGGGAGATCACGCGCCCGTCACCGCTGTGGGCAGAACGGGATCGGTGACGTTTATTAATAGTTAAAAATGGAGTGGGATGGTGAGACCTGGAACTAGGAACACCTCCTGCCCTGGCCTGGGCTTCGCTCCCGACTCCTCTATTTTTTTTTCTCCCCACCCTGAGCGGCGCAGGGGGAATGGGGGGCTGGGGTCATTGAGTCACGGGATGGGTTTGGGTGGGAAGGGACCTCACAGCCCCCCCGGCGCCCCCCCTGCCCCGGGCAGGGCCCCCTTCCCCCAGCCCAGGGGGCTCCCAGCCCCGTCCAACCTGGCCTTGAACCCTTCCAGGGAGGGGGCACCCACAGCTGCTCTGGGCACCCCGGGGCCAGCGCCTCCCCCCTGGCACAATAAAGAATTCCTTGCGTCTCATCTAAACCCGCCCTCTTTCAGAGCGTGGGCTCTCCGTGGGCTGCAGGGGAAACATCTCCGGCACCCGGAGCACCTCCTCTCCCTCCTCCTTCACCGACCCGGGTGTCTGCGGGGTTGTTCCTCTCACATTTTCTCATTCCTCTCTTCCACGGCACGTCTGACCCTTCCTTAAAGACGTTGCCGCAGAGGCGCCGCCAGCATCACTGGGGATTTTGAAGGCAGCTGGACCAGGCTGCGTCCAGCGTGGGGCAACCCAGTGACTCATGTCAGAGGCCACTGCTGCGGCCTCCCCCTTCCCCAAACCACGGAGACCCTGCACAGGGCTCACCCGTCCCTCCATCCTCCCACGTGCGAAGGTCTTTGCTCTTCTGGTTTTTAGGGTTGCCCCCCGTTTTGCCCTCCGAAATTTAAGAAGGGTTGGTTGGGATCCCCGGCTTAGCGTCTCCTTGGCCGCCCGTGCGGGGCGTCGGGCCCCAGCGGCTCCCCGGGGTGGGTGGGTCTCTGCAGGACGTGGCTCTGGCACCTTCGGGCTGGTGGGGCAGGATGGGGGCAGCCGGTTTCACCACAACCCCCCCCCCCCCGTTTTCTCCCTGCAGCTGCCAGCTGGAGGCTTCCGCGGAGGAGGCGAGCCGCCGAGGCGCCGTCGTACCTGAAGTGGGTGGATTTTGAAGGCCAGCTGCCCGCCGATGCCGTCTCCAACTGGAACAGCTACGCCAACAGGATGGAGTACGTCTGCTCCACGGAGAGATCCGGCTGCAACACCGGTGCCTACGTCCCCGAACGAGGTCCCTCCTGCTTCTTCCCATATGGGGGGTGGGAGCGGAGCGCCCCCGAGTTCAAGGTGTTGGTCAACGTGGGAGACTTCGAGGTGTTGGACTGGGTGGACGACTCCTTCGGCGGTGTGCCCAAAGGCGCCGTGGAGGGCTGCCCGTCCGTCGACATGTTCGTCGGGAGGAACCGCTACGGGCTGGGCAAGGTCTCCAAGGTGCAGCGGGCTGCCTTCATGATGGTGGACGGCGAGGAGGTCTGGTTCAAGTGGTACCAAGTCCTGGTGGTCAAGAAGGGCCCGGCGGAGGTCACCATCTCCGACGTCCGCTACAACGTGAGCGGGGCGGTGGAGGGCGGGGAGGACGTCACCCTGACGAAGGCCACGATGAGGAACGAGGGCTGCCGAGAGGCGCGTAAAGCTGTCACCTTGGAGGGGGTCACCGAGAGGGAGCACGACTGGGCGATGGACCAGGGGGTCTTCGCCACCGTCCGTGGGGTGTTGCGAGCCGCCCCCTTGGCCTTCGACGGGACGGGCTGGGCGGTCGCCAACGTCACCACCACCGTCCCCTGGGTGGGGGCAGCCAGCACCAGCGAGTACGTTGTCCACACCCGGGTGGTGGAGGAGAAGCTGCAGCCCCGGACGGCGTGCGCGGTGAGCCTGGAGGGACGGCGCTTGGCCGCCCGCACCCCTTTCACCGCGCGCCTGACGCGGGATTTTGGCGACGGTCAAGTGCACCGGGTGGCCGGGACGGGGTGGGCTCGCGGCCGGGTGGTGGTGGGTGTCCGGGCCAGGGTGCAGCAGTGCTGGCCCCTCGCCGACGTCCAGCCCTGCCCAGCGTAGGGGAGGGTGAGGCGGGTGGGTGCATCCAGCTCGCTCCACTGGGACCCGGAGAACGCAGTGCCACCGGGGCTTTCTCAAGGTTTTTTTCATGGTTTTTGTTTTTTTTTTTTTTTTTTTTTTTCCCCCTCCCCAAATAACTACCATCTCACCCCGGAACGGCAGCGGCTTGGAATGCAGAAAAAAAACGCATTTTTATTTTTTTGCCTTGCTTTTTGTTTCCATGGCACAACCTGCATCCCTCTCTGAAACTAACAATGCAAAATTCTGACAAATGTTGACTTTCCAGCCTTTATTTTCTACTTTCTCCAAAATAACTTCCATCTCTCCTTAAAAAGACACAGCAACAACGGTGAATACAGAAAACCGCTGCTTTTGTAGTCTGCATTTTCTATTTTTAACCCCAATAACCTCTGTCTCTCCCCGAAACAGGATGGCACCAGCACAGGATGCAGAAAAATGCATTTCTTACGGTCTCCATTTTTCCTTTTTTCCCCCCTAATTTCCATCAGGCTCCTCTCGCCGACCCGGCGGAGCAGCTGCCCCTCGAGGAGCCTCTCTCCACGCAGAGCTGGGGGGACGCAATTTCCAGCCGTGGTGCCCGCGTTGCCCTTTCCTCTTGGGTTTCGTGAGAAACGCTCGCAGGGCAAACATTCGGGCGTGGGGTTCATGAGGGACACGCCCCCCCAGTCATTTTCTAAGCAAAAGCGTGAGGAAGAAGGGAAAAAAAAAAAAAAAGCCAAACTCGGGGCCGCAAAGGCAACCAGGGGGCGGAGGGGGCGGCGGGTGTCCTGGCCCCGCGCAGGGTGCGGGTGGAGCAAAGCCGCCCCCCGGCGCGCAAGGGGTTAACCCCCTCCTCGCCTCCCCCCTCCCCTTCCCGCCAAGGCGGGAGCGGCGGCGGAGCCGGCCAATCGGTGTGCGAGTTGAGCGGGCGCCCCGCCCACCGGGCGCCGAGGGCGGGGGGGAGCGGCGCCCCGGGAACGGGGCGGGCGGGGGCGACTTCCCGGAGCGGGGGGGGGGGGGGTCCGGGAGGACTTTGGGGGGGTCCCGGGGGGGCTCCCCGAGGGCTGGGGGGGGCAGAGGGGTGGGGGGACCCCGGATTTCCTGGGGGGGTGGGGGTGGGTATGTGCGTGCAATGCACTGCAAGCAGCGTGTGGCGCTGCAACTGCTGCAACGCACTGCAACCCCTGCGACACACTTGCTGCAACGCACTGCAGCTGCTGCAACGCACTGCCAGATCTTGCAACAGCTGCAGCGCTGCAAACCGCTGCGATGCACTGCAGCTGTTGCAACACACTGCAACCGGCTAGCTGCCACTGCGGCAGTGCACTGCAACCTACTGCAACCGCTGCAACACACCTGATGCAACCGCTGCAACGCACAGCAACTGCTGCAACGCACTTGCCGCAACTGCTGCAACACGCTGCAACACACTGCAAAGGCTGCAATGTACTGCAGCTGCCGCAACATACTGCAACTACCGCAACACACTTTCTGCAACCGCCGCAACGCACTGTAACTGCCGCGAGGCACTGCAACCACTGCAAGATCCTGCAGCTGCTGCGCCGGGGCCGCTCCGGGTTGCACACACCCGGCTGCAGCGCCGGCGCCGTGCTGCCGCCCGAGTGCAGCGCTGCGGTGCAGGCGCAGCTGCGGGGGGAAGACACAGGGGAAATGACAAGCCGTCGGTAGCAGCAGGGTCTGTTGGAGGGGCGGCTTCCCGGAGCAGCATCTGGGTTGTAGCTCCGCTTAGGAAGGCGCCTAAGGGCCAAGTACAGCTCGTCCCTGACCAGCAGCCCCCGCCCGGCCGCCTGCGGGGCTTCCCTGCGCTCCTAGGAGGAGCGAGGTAGCAGAGCAAGGCCGGGGAGGCTTGCAGAACTGCCAGCTCAAAGCGGTTTTGTGGCCGCAGCTGCAAGGGGTTGGGGAAGGCAGCCCCAAGCTCGGAGGGAGGAGGCTGTGATGAAGCAGACGACGAGGGGAGGTCTGGGAGGACCGCCCAGAGCCTGTGGTGCACATGCAGGTGGAGGTGGCAACGTACTAGCCTGATTTCTCAGAAAATAAGGAATATGCTAACGAGATCTTGGAAATTACATGAATACGTAAGTGAATTGTGTGTGAATATCCAGAACCCCACCACGGTGCGGCGCGTACGGGGGGGAATGATCCCCTGTGCGTCCGATGTGTCGCATAAAGAACAGCGGCTGAATAGCTCGGACGGCTGCAGAGACCGAGTCCTCGGCATCACAACGCTGCAGCGCCAGTGTCACACTGCAGTGCAAGTGCTAAACGGCGGCGCAAGCCTGGCGCTGCCATGCAAATGCAGCGCTGCGGTGCAAGCGCTATGCTGCAACGCAGGTGCAACGCTGCAGCGCGAGCCTGCTGCTGCAATGCAAATGCAGCGCTGCAACGCAAGCCTGGCGCTGCCATGCAAATGCAACGCTGCAGTGCAAGCCTGCTGCTGCAGCGCAAGTGCTACACTGCAACGCACATGCAACGCTGCAGTGTAAGCGCTACACCACCAACACTGCAGCACAAGCCTGGCGCTGCGATGCAAACGCAACGCTGCAGCTGGACACCTGCCGCTGCGGCGCAGATGCAACGCTGCAGTGCAAGCACAATGCATGGGGCTGCGGACAGCAAAAGGCTGCGCAAGGCCCGTGCACGGTGCAAGCAAAATGGTGCACTGGAGGCACCGCTGCAGCACAGACTCCCCGGCACGGGGTAAGGGCCGCGGCGAGCTGGAAACGCGCTGCAGCGCGCAGCGCAGCTGCAAACACCCCCCCCCCCCCCCCCCCCAGCGCTGCACGGCGAGCCCGGAGCACCACGCGGCATCGCTGCGGTGCCACCCCCCGTAAAGGCTTCCGCACCGCCCCGTGCGCTGCAAGAAAAACCCAAACCAAACCACAAAGCGGTGCAGAGAAGTGGCTAAAACTGTCGTTACAGCAAAGGGGGGGGGGGAACTGGGGGGGGGGGGACGAGCCGGGAGGAGGGGAGCAGAGCCGGGCAGGGTTCCCCAAGCCACCCCGGCACCCGTGTCCAGCCCCGGGCATCCAGGCGAGCGGCCGGTGAGGTAGGTCGGTCTCTGAAATTTAAGGCCTGGCGCGCGGGGCAGGAGGGGCCGGCGCTGGCTGTGATGAATAAATAGCAAAAACTGAAAAAAAAAAAAAAAAAAAAAAAAAAAAAAGAAAAAAAAAAAAAAGGGGGGAAAAAAAAGGCGAATTGTGACTGGAGGTGCCGGATGGGAAGACGGGGTGTGGTGGTGGCGGGGTTAGGGTGGTGGGGAGGTGGAGGTGGGTGAAGGACCAGGGAGCCACCAGGCTCCTGGGAGACGTCAGTCGTGGGCTCATCTTCGTCCTTGTCCGTGTTACATCTCCCCTGGGACCAGGGAAGTCAGGTCACGGAGCCACCAAGCTCAGGGAGGACATCCGTCGTCGGCTTGTCTTCACCCCCTGACACGCTACAGCCCCGGGACGCAGTGTCCTGGAGCCACCAGGCTCGGGGGGGGACATCAGTCACCAGCTCATCTTCACCCCTGCGTCACATCCCTGCGACCAGGGAGCAAAGTCCTGGGGCCACTGGGCTTGTGGAGGACGTCGAGCATCAGCTCATCATCCCCCCCCCCCCCGCCCCCCCAGTCCACGCTGCAGCTCCTCTGGGCAAACCAGTCCCTCCGCAGCAGCCGCGTGGCGCCGGCCAGCAAGGGAACCAACACCGGCCGCCCGCCACGTCCACGCCACCCACCCAAGCTCAAGCATCCCCCATGGTGGGCACCCATCGCCGCCTCCTCCTCCTCCTCCTCCCCGCCACCGAACCCCGTCACTTGTCCCTGGCGGCCGCCCGGGCGTGGATGCGCGTGTGCCGGGCAAGGGAGGACTTGTTGCTGAAGCTCTTCCCGCAGTGGGGACAGGGGAAGGGTCTCTCGCCCGTGTGCGAGCGCTCGTGCACCGTCAGGTCCGCCAAGTACTTGAAGCTCTTGCCGCAGGCGCCGCAGGGGTAGGGTCTCTCCTCGGTGTGGCTCCGCTGGTGCATGGTGAGGTTGGACTGTTGGCTGAAGCGCTTGCCGCAGGCGGCGCAGGGGTAGGGACGCTCGCCCGTGTGCGACCGTTGGTGCTTGTTGAGGTCCGAGGGGTTGGTGAAGGTCTTGCCGCACGAGCCGCAGGCGTAGGGACGCTCGCCCGTGTGAAGCCGTTGGTGGGTGGTGAGGGTGGAGAGGTGGCCGAAGCTCTTGCCGCAAGCCCCGCAGGCGTAGGGCTTCACCCCCGTGTGGGTGCGCTGGTGGGTCTTCAGGTGGGTCAACCGGCCAAAGCTCTTGCCGCACTCGCCGCAGGGGTACGGGCGGTCCTTCCCCTGCGCCGGTAGCTCCCGCTTCACCCAGGGCTTCTCCGGGCTCCTGGTGTCCTCCGCCGGCCCAGCTGGGCCGTGGGTGAAGGGCTGTGGGAAGGTGGTGGGACCCCGTGGGATCTGTTGCCGGTGGGTCCCTCTGCGGGCAGGAGCCCCGGTTGTCGGGACGCCCTGGAGGGAGCTGGGTGGGTGCGGGGGGTCTTCTCGTTGTAAAACGGACATCTCTGGGTCCCTGCTCGCTGCGGTGGGACCTGTTGGGGGGAAGGAGAAGATGCCTCATGAGCTGGTTCTCGATGGAGGACACCACCCTCCTCCTCCTCCGACCCTGCTGCCCTTCATCTCCTCCAACAACGGTGGAGACGGTTCAGCTCCCACCGTGGAGCGAAATCCCAAATCCATCCATGGGTGGCCGCCGGGCCACGCCACGAGAGGGATGAACTTGAAGCCACCTCAGCAGAGGAGCCCAGCCAGTCCGGGGGGCAAGGACGGCGGGAGGAGCCCACCATCAGCCCCGATACACCACAACTCCTTAAAGAAGCATTTCCAGCATCGCCGTGACAGAGAAGATGATGCTGGAGGAAGAGAACAAGATTTTGGGGCTCATGGTTTCCAGAGGACAAACGGGGAGAGTAAGAGCTCTCTGCGGACACTCATGATCTTCACTCCAAGGTCTTCATCCTTCTGCAACTTCTCTGCAGCTCAGGAGATGGCCATCTTCAGGCTTCCCGCACTGGTGGGCACGTCTCAGGTAACATCTCTCAGCCTTTCTTCTTGCTTCAGTTTGCGGCTTTTGAGCCCAAGGAGACCTTTCTTCTCACACCACAACAGGGCTCGAGGTGACAGGTGGCGGCACCGCTGCCGGAGTCTCCACCTGGATCCTTCTTGGGGTCACGTCTTTCTCCTTCCTCGATACCGCAGGAGTTTTCCCAGCACCCGGACCTCATTTTTGACCCTTTTCCCCGCTTCGCTCTCACACGTCCTCCACCGAGAGCAACAAAACCACCCCAAACAAGAGCAATGACACCATGGGAGCATCCGTGGGGAGGATCGGACCCAACCAAGCCCATCGCAGGAGACACCCCGCCACCACTGAGCCCCCTGGCTTCTACAACAGCTTCTTCACCCCCTTTTTTTTTTTTGAAGGATCTCTTCCCTTCAGCCCATTACCTGCTTCCTGCAGGTGCTGCTCCTCTTCCTTGGGGACAAACCTGACCTTGCCCCGGGCCACCTCCTCCTGCCAACTGTCCCCAGAGGGGAGCTGGGGTGACTCCAACGAGGGGCTTGGTGGGTCTCCCGCCACTTCGGGGTCCTCCACATCCCCTGGGGCCACCTCCTCCACCTTCACACGCACCGTCACCTGGGGGATCCAACGAAAAAGGGGCACCCAGGGGTTGCGGAGGGGATTTGGGTGCCCAGGACATCCCAGAGGGGAGTTGAGTGCCCGGACCTCCCATCCCTCCTGCCTCTCCAGGGTCAGTTTTGGCGGTGTCCTGTGGGAACGAGCTCGGAAGCAGTGCTGGAGGAGGGGGGTTGTGCCCAGTTTTGGGGAGGGGGGCAGGAGGGTGGTTGCCCCTTGTGAACCCCAACCCCGGCCGGGATCCAGCTCTCACCTGCTGCTCCCAAACCCCGTCGGGATCTCCCTGCCCCAGCTGGAAGCTCTCGGCCAAGGCGACGGCTTGGGCGCAGGATTCGGGATGTCGCACCCAGACCCAGCTCTGGATCTCCTCGGGGAGGATGCTGAGGAATTGCTCCAGCACCAGCAGCTCCATGATCTGCTCTTTGCTCCTCACCTCCGGCCGTAACCAACCCTGCGACAGCTCCCGCAGGCCGCCGGCAAACGTCCCGCGGGCCCGACGCCTCCTGGTACCGGAATTGCCGAAAGCGCAACCGCCGCATCTCGGTGCCGGCGCCCCCCCCGTGCAGCGCCGGGACCAGCCGCCGCGCCCACTCCCCCCGCGGCCAGCGGCGCCTCTCGGCCACCCGCTCCAGGGACGTCGGGGACCCTTCGGTGTCCTCCCCCGGGCGCGGCGAGGGGGGGCGAGGGGCTGGGGGACGCCGGCGGCCCCCCTCCGGTTGCAGCCGCCAGCGGGGTCGTGTCGCGGGGGTCTCCATGCTGCCGGGATCCGTCGGCGCTGGGTGGGTTCCCCCCCCACCCTGCAAGATCTGCTGGGGGGGGGGGGGGAGGGCGATGTTGGGGGGGGGTGGTTTTGCAAAACAGCCGGTGGGGTGGGCTCTGGGAGGGGGGGGGGGAAGCAGGGCACGGCTTTGCAAAGACATCTCCCCCCAACTCCGGTCCCTCAGCTCCGCCCCCCTCCCCCAACAAGGACTATGTGCCCCCCCCCCCCCAACTCCTAGCTCGCAAAGCCCCCCCCAGGTTTTGCAGTGTGGCCCCCCCCGCCTTGCAGAGCCCCCCCGGACCATGCGATGTGCCCCCCCCCCCCCCTCAATCCCCACCCTTGCAAGAGCTCCGCAAAACTTGCAAAGACCCTCCCCCAGCCCCCCAGCTTTGCAAATCACCCCCTTCCCCAACCATGCAATATCCCCCCCCCCCTTCTCCCCCCCCAGCTTTCAAAGCCCCCAGACTCTCACAAAGTCCCCAGGTACTGCAACGTGTTCTCCCCCCCCCCCCGCAGTGGACTCTTAGTCTTGCAAAAGTCCCTCAAATCTTGTAATGCCATGTGCCCCCCCCCCCCCAGCTTATACCCCTCCCCAGCCCCCAGATCCTTGCCCCCCCCCCCGCCTCAGAACCCCCAGGTTTGCAAACTGCCCCCAGCACCACGTAACATGCGCCCCCCGCCTTCCAAAGCCCCCAGATCATTGCAATATGCCCCCCCCGCTGCAAATCTCACAAAGACTCCCCCAGCCTTGCAACCCCCCCCCAAGCCATGCAACATGCCCCGCCCTCCCCCCCCCCCCCCCCGCCATCACCCAGTTCACAAAGCCCCCAGGCCCTTCCAATGTGCCCCCCCAGCCTTGCAAAGCTCCCCCCGCCCCATCCCCAGCCCTTGCAAATATTCCAGCAACCTTCCATTCCGCCCCCCCCTCCGCCCTTGTAAAGTGCCCCCGCCCCCCCCTTCCCTTTGGCAGAAGCTCCGGGTGCTTTGGAAAGCCCCCCCCCCCGCCCCCCCATTTCCCCCCGGCCTTTCAACGCCCCCCCCCCAGGATCTTGCAACACCCCCTTCCAGCGTCCCCCAACTTGCAACCCCCCCCCCCCCCCCCGCCTCTTTGCAACGCCCCCCCCGCCCGTGCAACACCCACGGGACCATGCCAAGCTCCCCCTCCCCGCCCCAAAAAAGCCCAACCTTGCACACTGTGACCCCCCCGGCCCCGCAGCCCCCCCCGGACCTGGGGTCCCGCCGCCGCAGCCCCGCCGCTCCCCGCTCGCCGACACAAAGGGCCGGAGCGGCCGGGCCCGGCCCCGCCGCCCCCCCCCGACAACGGTCCCCCCCGGCCCCCCCCCTTCCCCCCCCCCCCCCCCCCCCCCCCCGCGGTGGCCGTCGCCGCCGTCACTCAGCGCCGGGAACGGGGTTAACCCTCCGCAGCCCGGAGCTCAGCGGCGGCGGGGAAAGGGTTAACGCGGGGAGGCGGGGGCGTTGGGGGGGGGGGCTGAGTGTGTGTCCCCGCGCACCCCCATTGCACCCCCCCCGCTGCTCCTCCCCAGCATGTGCACCCAATTGTGCCCTCGCCCTGTGCACCCCCAAACTGCACCCCCCCCAAGTGTGCACCCCCCCAGCACCCCCAAACTGCACCCCCCCCAACTGTGCACCCCCCCAGCACCCCCCAAACTGCACAACCCCCCCAGCTGGGCACCCCCAAACTGCACACACCACCCAACTGGGCACCCCCCAGCACCCCCAAACTGCACACCCCCCCCAACTGGGCACCCCCCGGCACCCCCAAACTGCACCCCCCCCCAACTGTGCACCCCCCAGCACCCCCAAACTGCACACCCCCCCAACTGTGCACCCCCCGGCACCCCCAAACTGCACCCCCCCAACTGGGCACCCCCCAGCACCCCCCAAACTGCACAACCCCCCCAACTGGGCACCCCCAAACCGCACCCCCCCCAACTGTGCACCCCCCCCACCCCCAAACTGCACCCCCCCAACTGTGCACCCCCCAGCACCCCCAAACTGCACCCCCCCAACTGTGCACCCCCCAGCACCCCCCAAACTGCACAACCCCCCCAGCTGGGCACCCCCAAACTGCACACACCACCCAACTGGGCACCCCCCGGCACCCCCAAACTGCACCCCCCCAACTGTGCACCCCCCAGCACCCCCAAACTGCACCCCCCCCCAACTGTGCACCCCCAGCACCCCCAAACTGCACCCCCCCAACTGTGCACCCCCCAGCACCCCCAAACTGCACACCCCCCCCAACTGGGCATCCCCCGGCACCCCCAAACTGCACCCCCTCCAACTGTGCACCCCCCAGCACCCCCAAACTGCACACCCCCCCACAACTGTGCACCCCCCCAGCACCCCCAAACTGCACCCCCCCCAACTGGGCACCCCCCAGCACCCCCAAACTGCACACCCCCCCCAACTGTGCACCCCCCCAGCACCCCCAAACTGCACTCCCCCAACTGGGCACCCCCCAGCACCCCCAAACTGCACCCCCCCCAACTGGGCACCCCCCCAGCACCCCCCAAACTGCACAACCCCCCCAACTGGGCACCCCCCGGCACCCCCAACCTGTGCACCCCCAAACTGTGCACCCCTAAACGTACACCCCACTGCACCCCCAAACTGTGCACCCCCGCCCTGTGCACTCCATGACCCCCCTTCCTTTTGTATCCCCCACCACGCCCCCCCCTCATTGCACCCCCTATCCCTGTGCACCCCTTTTCGGCACCTCCCCCCCCCCCCCAAACACCCCCGTGGCCCCTTTAAGCCGCCGTACGCAGGGGAACACCTTCGTAGCGTTCCATTGGGCAAGGGCGCTGTCAATCGTGAGGAAACCCCCGCCCCTCTTCCCGATCTGGAGCAGGGGGAACCCCTCCCCTGCGGCAAGGGGCGGGAGTGACAGCGAGGCGGGCCAATGGCCGAGCGATGGGGGGCGAGTGGGCGGGATCAGGGCGAGGAGGACACGCCCGCTCCTGGCGCGGGAGGCGGGGGAGGGGGGTCGAGGGGGAGTTGTGGAGTGGGTGCTGGGTGCTGCACGGGGGGTGTCCCCCACCCGTGGGTGCTGCACGGGGGGTGTCCGCCACCCGTGGGTGCTGCACGGGGGGTGTCCGCCACCCGTGGGTGCTGCACGGGGGGTGTCCCCCACCCCTGGGTGCTGCACGGGGGGTGTCCCCCACCCCTGGGTGCTGCCGGGGGTCCCTCCCCACCCCTGGGTGCTGCACGGGGGGTGTCCCCCACCGGTGGGTGCTGCACGGGGGGTGTCCCCCACCCCTGGGTGCTGCCGGGGTCCCTCCCCACCCCTGGGTGCTGCACGGGGGGTGTCCCCCACCCCTGGGTGCTGCCGGGGGTCCCTCCCCACCCCTGGGTGCTGCACGGGGGGTGTCCCCCACCCGTGGGTGCTGCACGGGGGGTGTCCCCCACCCCTGGGTGGTGCCGGGGGTCCCTCCCCTGCCCTGGGTGCTGCACGGGGGTCCCTCCCCACCCCTGGGTGCTGCACGGGGGGTGTCCCCCACCCCTGGGTGCTGCACGGGGGGTGTCCCCCACCCCTGGGTGCTGCACGGGGGGTGTCCCCCACCCCTGGGTGGTGCGCTCGGGGAGGGTTAAGCCGTGGGCGCTGGGTGCCCCCCACCCCTGGGTGCCCCGGCCGCTCCCTCCCCTGCCCGCGGCGGGTTGAGCTTCCTGGGTCAGCGCTGGCGGCCCCGGAACCGGCCCCGGCCCAGCGGCTCCGCAGCGCCCGGCCGGACAGAGGGACAGGGGACAGGGGGACAGGGACAGGGGACAGGGGAGGGGGGACAGGGGGACAGGGGACAGGGGACAGGGGGACAGGGGGACAGGGGGACAGGGGACAGGGGAGGGGGGACAGGGGTCAGGGGACAGGGGAGGGGGGACAGGGGGACAGGGGGACAGGGGGACAGGGGGACAGGGGGACAGGGGAGGGGGGACAGGGGGACAGGGGACAGGGGAGGGGGGACAGGGGGACAGGGGACAGTGGAGGGGGGACAGGGGGACAGGGGGACAGGGGATAGGGGGACAGGGGACAGGGCCTCGCCCCGCCACTGCCCGGACCCAAGAGGTGCGTGGGGCAGCCTTCCTCTCCCTCGCTCCGGCTCCTCTGTCCTCTTTCTTTGCTCCTCTCTTTACCTATTTTCCTTCTTTTTGCCCGTATTTAACTGTTTTCCCCACTCTGTTCTTTATTTTTCCCATTTTCTCCCTTCTTTCCTTCTTTATCCCCTTCTTTTACACATTTTCTTTATTTTTCCCTGGTTTTCCCCTTTCCTCCTTCTTTTCCCCCTATTTTCTTTCCTCCCTTCCTCTCTCCTTCCTCCCTTCCTCCCTTCCTCCCTCCCTCCCTCCCTCCCTCCCTCCCTCCCTCCCTTCCTTCCTTTCTTCCTTTCTTCCTTTCCTTCTTTCATTTCCTTCTTTTCTTTCCGTCTCCCTCCTTCCTTCCTTTCTTCCCTCCCTTTTTCCTTTTCCATCTCCTCCCCTACTTTTCTTTTATAAGCACTGAGCCTTCCCCCTTTTTTGGGGGAGAATGCTGCTGTGCTCCCCATTTTGGGGGATCTGTCATGAGGGCTAAGCTGTGCTCCTCATTTTGGGGGGAATATCATGAGTATTGAGCTGCACTCCCTGCTCTGGGCATAATATCATGAGCACTGAGCCTTGCTCCCCAATTTGGGGGGAATATAATGAGCGCTGAGCCACACTCCCCATTTCACCCCAGCTTCCCGCCCCCCATGTCTGTTCAGGGACAGCTCTTGCAGGACGGGCTCTTATGTTCAGGCATTTTCAGGATCTGGGGTGTATTTGTGGTACTGCTGGGCATCCAAGCATCCTCACCTGGGTGACAGGTGGAAGACAGGAGAGGAGCTCTCACGGGAGATTTGCATCCTTGGCAGGGCATAAAAATCGTTTAGATTTTCCCTCTCCTCTGTTCTCCCCCCAGACCGAGCCCCGTCTGCCCCATACCATGCCGAAACGGAAATGCAAGTTTACCGACGAGCTCCAGGCGAAGTACCCCTGCTTCCGCGTGGGCCGGGAAAGATGGGAGGCCGAGTGCTTGGTGTGCCAGGAGGGCACCTACGTCTCTGTGGCCAACAAGGGCTCTCTTGACCTGGAAGCCCACATCCAGTCCATGAAACACAAGAGGAACATGCTGAGGGATGCCTCGGTGGCCAAGCTGCCGGGCTGCTTCCTCCCCACCGACTACCAGCCCTTCGATGCTGCTGCCGCCACTGCTGCCGAAACCCCTTTGGGCTTCCCCGCTGCCGCGCTCCAGGGCTGCTGTGAGCCCCTGCCTGCCGTGCCCGGCTTGCCCAAAACGCCTGACCCCGTCTTAGATGTCTTGGGCTTGCAAATCAAGACGGAGGTGAGGCTGGATGAGGCACTGGCCCCCTTCACATTGGACTGTGGGGTGGACATGCTGGACGGTATCCCCTATTGTGGGGTGGCCCTGGGTGCCGGTGACGGGGGGACCTCCTTTCCCATCCAGATCCGCTATTTTGACTGGAAGCGGGGTGGCGTGCAGAGCAGGGCGGTCGGTGTGGAGGCCCCACCAGGTGAACTGGCCCCCGGTGCCGCCGCACTGGTGCGGGAGGTCTTGGAGAGCCATGGGCTGCGGCAGCGGTGCGTGGCCATCGTAGGCGAGAGCCCCAACACCATGTTGGGGGGGCTGGGGCGCTGCTCCCAGGGTCTGGCCGAGGCAGCTGGCTTGCGGGAGCTGCTGGAAGGGGTCTTCATCGCCACCGACTGCCCCGCGCACCTCCTCAGCAACTGCATCCAGCACGGAGCGGACAGCCTGGAGGTGGACCTGCAGTCCCTCGTCTGGAAGATTTACACCTACATCTCCGTCTACACTGTCTGCACTGAACCGCTCAAGGACTTCCTGGAGTTTGCCAAGAGGGAGTACCAGCGGTTGCTCCACCACGCCAGGGTGCCCTGGTTGCTCCTGCTGCCAGCCATCACCCGCTTGCTTCAAGTCTTCCCCGTCTTGAAGTCCTTCTTCCTCTCCCTCAGCCACCCCCCCTTCGCAATCCGGACCTTTTTTGAGGACGACTTCAGCGAGATCTACCTGCAGCACATGGCTTCGCAGGTGGCTGTCTTCGACGTGCACCTCAGGACCTTGGCGAGGGAGGACAACTCGCCCTGCGAGGTGCTGGGCGTCCTCTCCTCCGTCCGCCGCACCCTCCTGGAGCGCAAAGCCCATGGCTTCATGTCGCTGCGGGTGAAGGAGCTGCTGGCGGAGCAGCAGGCAGCTGGGAGGGTCGGAGAATGCGACACCTTCTGCCGCCGTGTCCAGACCCTCTACGAGGCGTTCCTTGACTACCTGGATGCTCGGACGGGGCCGTTTGGGGAGCTTTTCCGTTTCCAGTGGATGCAGCTACAGGCCCCACCAACGTGGGCGGAGGTGGAGGGGTGCATCAAGTACCTGGTGGACCACGGGGTCATGGTGGATGACAGCAAGTGCTTCGACCAGTTCTGCCACCTGACCACCTTCTTGAAGGGCTGCAGGAGCAGCAGGGACTTCGATGCCCTGCAGACGCACCAGAAATGGGTGCGTTTCTTTGGCAGCTCCCACGGCCTGGCTGGCCACTCGGAGCTCCTCAGAATGGCTCAGGTTTTCTTTGCCATCCCCTCCTGCGGGGCTGATTTTCCCAGGGGGCTTTTCCTGATGTGAATCTGGTGGGACCAGGCGTGGACCTTTCGTCAGTTCACTGTGACCGGGCTACTGTGAAGCGTGCAGCATGTCAAGACTTCTTTTTTTGCAACAATAGACCTCTTGATTCCTGTTTTTGTGTGTCAGCCCAAACGGGGAGGATTTGTTAATGGTGTTTTTAAAGGCTGTACTCTGTCTGCAGGAGAGGTGGCTTTGCTTCTGTGCGAATAAATACCACCACAGGCTGCGGTCATCTGTGGGCACAGGAGGGATGGTTGGGGGCCAGATGGCTTTTGGGGTGAAAGTCACCCAGGACTCAACACACTTATTTCTTGGGTTTGAGAGAGGGAAGGTGAGGTTTTGTCCATGCACTTGGGGCCTCCAAGCTTGGACCTCAAAAGCAGACTTCAAGCTTGTGCACCCCCTCTGCCCCGCCTCTGCCTAAGGGGTGGAGAAGGCTTTTGCAGCATCATGGAGGCATCTGGAGATATTTGACCTTTCCAGCTGGGGAGGTTTTGTCATCTGCCTGTCCCCCTCAGATTCCCCAGGGATCACAGAATCATAGCATACCAGGTGGGAAGGGACCTCAAGAGTCATCTGATCCAATGTTTCTTGACAAAAGCACAGTCTATACAAGGTGGCGCAGCACCCTGACCAGCTGAATCTTAAAAATGTCCAGTGTTGGGAAATCCACCACTTCCCTGGGGTGATTATTCCAAAGGCTGATTGTTCTCATCGTGAAAAATTTTCTTCTTGTGTCCAGTCAGGATGTCCCCACCAGTAACTTGCACCCACTAGCCCTCCTCTTTTCCACGTGACTCCTCGTAAAATCTTCTTTGTAGCCACCCTCTAAACACTGGAACATGGTGATAAGGTCTCCCCTAAGCCTTCTTTTCTCAAGGATGACCAAACTCAGTTCTCTCAGCCTTTCCTCATATGGCAGGCTTCCCAGTCCTTTGGTCATCTTTGTGGCCCTCCTCTGGACCGTCTCCAGCCTGTCCACATCTTTTTTATAGTATAGTGGGGACCAAAACCGAACACAGTACTCCACGTGTGGCCTGACAAGTGCTGAGTAGAGTGAGACGATGACTCCTTTCTCTCTGCTGGTGATGCCTTTGGTGATGCAACCCAGCACCCTGTTGACTTTCTTTGCCGCAGCAGCACACTGTTCACTCACATTGAGCTTGTTGCCCACGAGGACCCCCAGGTCCCTTTCCACAGAGCTGTTCCCCAGCTGGGTAGATCCTAGTCTGTGCTGCACTCGTGGATCATGTTTTCCCAGGTGTAAGACCTCACATTTGTCCTTGCTGAACCTTCATAAGCTCCTTGTTAGTCCACTCTTCCAGCCTATCCAGGTCTTCCTCTCCCTTCCTAAGTGACCACTTCCCCACTGACTTTGGTATCATCGGCAAACTTCATCAGGGTACGCTCGATCCCATCATCCAGATCACTTATGAAGATATTAAACAGCGTTGGGCCCAGTATTGATCCCTGGGGGGACCCCACTGGTGACAGGTTGCCAATTTGAAAAAGAGCTATTTCCCCCCACCCTCTGGGTGCGGCCTGGCAGCCAGTTCCCCACCCACTGCACAGACCACTGGTCTAGACCACAACGCGCCAGTTTCTCTAGGAGGAGGCTGGGGGACACTGTACTGAAAGTCTTGGAGAAATCCAGGCAGACAGTGTCCACCACTTGCCCCACATCGACCGAGCAGGTTACTTGGTCATAGAAGGCCATCAGATTTGTCAAGCACAATTTGCCTCTGGTGAATCCATGCTGGCTTTTGCCTATAACGTGCTTCATTTGACTTGTGATAGCCCCAGGAGGATTCATTCCATAACTTTCCCAGGGACTGAAGTATGACCGATGGGCCTAGAATATCTCCTTTGGGACGTGTGAAGGGACCTGCCAAGGCTGAAAATCAGGAAGAACTGCCATCAAGAGAGTCCTGGCCTCCTCCCAAAGCTCCCCACCACCCGTAAGAGGATTTATCTTGCAGCACCTTGAGGCATTTATTGCTTGTGCCAGGAGACGCAGCAGAGATAAGGTGCCCGGCTGGCAGAGAATAAATATTTGCATTAATATTCATCTCCTGCCCAAGTATGTGTCGATGTCCACACACGTGTGTCCTCCTCCCTTGCAGTTTTCCTCCTGCAATCACAAGAGCAGCAATGGGTACGCAAAAAATGCCTTTCCCTTGGATCCAGCACCTTAATACTGACACAAGCACACCCTGCCCAGGCAAGGACTTTGGATATCAAGAGAGATGGACCCATAAGGATCATCAAGTCCAAGGAGGACTTTGCACAGTTGTCATCAGAAAGTTGTTTTTCTTGGCAACAGCTTGATTTTTCTGTTCCAAAGTCTTATTCTTCCCACTGGAAAGCTGCTCGGAGCTGTGGAGAAGACACTAGAGATAAGCAGGAATTTTGTTTGGAAGTCGTTTGAGAGGAGATCCAGATCACCACCAAACCCCAGGATGTCATCTTGTACAACCCGAGGTAATGTCAGGGGGAGGGGGCAGGGGGTGGACGACCTTGCCAGAGGGGACGCCCCTCAGGATTCAGGCAGAAGGTCCAAGTTGGACCATCTCCCAATGGTTGGACCATCTCCCTCATAAGCCCAAGTAGTCTCCCCATCCCTTTTCCTCCTCACCTGTGCTCTTCTTCCAGGAGCTACTGCTTCAAGCACCCAGGATCCCACTGGGCGTCACAGAGAGTTGCCAATTTGCCAACTCCATGATCCATTTTTGGGAGTGTGTGGGGGTCCTGGTGTATGAGGCAGACATCTTCATACTGGCCATTCTTGTCTCCAACCCCTTGAACTACAACGTTTTCTACATGAAGGTAGCCATGGAGATCTCCTTGCACAACGTCCGCCTTGGCAACATGAAGGACATCTACACCAGGCTGTATAACAGTCAACCTGCCAGTACTGATGAGTGTTCCACTGTGTCAAGCTCGGTGTGTGCCAGGAGGCCGCTGTGGTCTCTGCTGGCAATGTGTGGGTCACGGCCACCATGTCCAAAGCTGCAAGGTTGAACATCAAAGTCATCACAGAGAATCAAGATAGTTCCTCCTATATATCCAAAGGTGGCACCACCATTAGCCTTGGGCAGCATCAACTGAAGGGGTTGACGTACTTTGTCCATGTTGCTGTAAACACCGGGCAGAACCTTCTGCCCTCAGTAAATGGTTGAGCAAAACAAATTGTATCCAGACTGGGAAGAAGCCCAGGTAGAATGGAAGATGCTTCTTTTAGCTCCTAATCCCCTTTTTTTACCAGGTTGGAGGACTCCCTGTTTTGCGGTAAGGAAGGGGAGTGTGATTTGAAGGTCCTTTGGGTGGGCAGTGCTGCGCCTGGGGTTTGGGAGCTTGCTTGGATGCAATGCCTGGTGGAAACCTGCTCTCCTGAAGGGGCTCTTTTTGATTTGAGTTATAGCTTGGGTTTAGTTTTGATGTTTGTCCAGCTGGTATCCACCCGGGGTCCTGGTGTAGGGGGCAGACACCTTCCCATTGGCCATCCTCTTCTCCAGCCCCTTGGACTACATTTTTTACCTGGAGGTTGGGGGTTCAAACCGAATAACTTCACCCTATTTCTCTCAGGCCATCTCTCTGTTTCCATTTCCCATGTTCCTATGGTGATCGTGCCAATCTGTGAGTCATCTGTCTCCTAACCCAACCTGTCTTTGCACCCTCAATCCATCTGCCTGTCCATCCCTCCATCTTTTGGAGAGAAAACCTGGTGGAAGGACCACCTCCAGCCAAGCACTGGAAGTAGTGGGGCAGATGTCTTCTGGGCCAAAAAAATTACCTCTTTTATTTTGTTCTGCTTTCCTTCCTATGTGGCGAAGGAGAAAACAGCTCTGGGCTTCCTCACATGCCACGTTATCTGATGAGAGGTTGGTGGTTACCATCAGCTGTGTTATGTTTCACTGTGAGGTCTTCTAGGCTTGGTGTTTCCTGGGAGCGAACAGATTTCATTTGGGGCTTTTTTCCTATTAATTTGTTCTACTTTGTGGCTGGAAGTGGCAGCAGCAGCCAAACCAGGAGAAAAAAAAGCAACAAGGTGGGACAGCAGAGGTGGATGGGGGAGGTCAACTGGGGCTGTGGCAGTGATGAAGGCAGGATGAGGTCTGCAGGGTTTTGTGGGGAAGGAGAGTGTGAGGGAGCTCTGAAATGCAAATTGAAGCCTTTTTGGTCACTGACCGAAGGATTAAATGGAGCTGAGAATTGGGACAGGGAAAAGCCATGTGGAGATGTCTCCATCGCCCCTCTCCAATGACCCAACACCCCCTCTGCCTCCCTCCCTCCAGACAGGGGGTGGGTGACACAAGACCAAACACTAACTTTCCTCTTTCCATTCATCCCTTAGTCCTCAAATGTCTGGTGGATCAGATGGAACCTTTGATGGACCTTCCTGATGGGAAGACCTGCCAGATTTTTCTGCTCTTGTATTTGGGAGCTGCTGGAAACAGGTCCTGGTGCTGGATGTGACTTTGGGCAATGCCTTGATGGGCTCCAACCATGCGAGGCGAGGTCTAGAGCTGAGACATGCTCAGAATTCAGGCTCCTATCTCTGCTTGCTGGAGGACTGATCATCTATGAGACCTTCAGAGACCAATGCAAAGGACTAACAATCAGAAGCAAACCACCTTTTTAATTATGAACCTTTTAAATTTATTTATGTCCAAGAGCCACTGCAATGTTCACGGCTGGAGCAAACTCCTCCTGCAACCAGCTTGGGCAGAATGTTTTGGCTGAAGCCCAAAGGATGAAGTTGGGTCCCCAGGGCACTGGAGATCTGCTTTTGTCAGCTGGAGATGCAGTGGAGGTGGCATTGAGTCAAGGGACACCATCTTGGACCAATTCCCCCCTGCCATGGCCATGGGGAACTGACGATTCACCGTGGTCCTTGCCACAGACCCACCAGCAGCACCTTGGAGCATTTCTCTGGTCTGGCAACAGGTCCTCCAACTGCGAGGGCTCCTGGACATCTCGTCCTTTGCAGCACTTGTGAAATGCCATGGTCTTCTACTGGCGCATGAACCTCTTCAACCTGGCCAGCTGGACTTGCTTTCCTGCAAGCAAGACAGCGATGGGTCAATGGGTGTTGGACCATCTCTGCAGAGGAGCCTCTACAAGGTGCACACAGCTCCATGCCTTTGTGGGGGCTTCCAAAGTCCCCCCAGATGGCCCAAAGCCCACTTAGTGCCCCCTAATCTTGCTCGATTTTAGTGTGTGCACCTGTGAATCCCTGATCAGTGACACAGTTAATGGGCACCACGCAACGGGGCCAGTGGTTCTCTTACCGATCTGCAGGAGGAGATGGATGCCCAAAGCCAGAGCCAGGAGGGAGAGGATCACAAAGGCCAGGCTGAGGGAGACTCCCAGCCCTGGGAGAAAGAAAGCAGATGGTGATGATGAAGAGCACTGGGTCCCACAGGGCCAAGAGGGGTAAAGCCAAGCCCTGGACCATCCCCACCATGTCCTAGGCTGCGTGGTTCATTTTCAGTCATGCTAGGAAACCTGCAGAGCCATCTTTGTGTCAGTGGGAAGGGATCTCCAGAGCACTGAGATAGGAGTTCCTGTTAGTATGCTGGTCACACTCCTTCTCATGAAGCCCCATATTTCCTTCCCCTGCAGTGAGAGCTCATGGCAACTTGTACTCAACCCAGGGACCTCCAGGTCTCGAATACAGTCAAACCAAGGACCTCCAGGTCTTGGGAGAGGGTTGGGATTATTGATCCCTTCCTCATCAGTGAGTGATGGGAAGGTGGAAAGAAGCACGTATCTCAGCTGCTTTGTGGGAAATGTCTATTTCCCTGGCAAGGAAAAGTGAGGAATTTCCATTTGAAGGTTCTGGCCAAGCTGAAGTTAGTAGCATCACTGGTGGCACCTTGGAGCTTGGAAACCAGGATTTTTGGCCAAACTTCATCCAGAAAAGCAAGGATGTTTACCTCCAGGTGGCAGCTCTGGGTTGGTAGCAATGCTGCTGTTCCTCAGGTCATCCTTCCCACCTAGACAACAAATATGTGGAGAAAGGGTCACCCCAAACTGGCCCCTCTGCCCCATGCTGTGGAGCGGTTGCCAAAGTGACCAAGTGAAGTTTTGGGGTGGTGGGTGGCTATTCCTAGGCTGGACCCAGGTGTTGTGGTTAAACACCTAAACACCACACAGCTGCTCGCTCACTCCCCTACCCACTGGTGGGATGGGGAGAGAATTGAAAGAAAAAAAAAAAATGTAAAATTCATGGGTTGAGATGAAGATAGTCTAATAGGCCAGAAAATGAAGGTAATTACAATAACAGTAATAATAATAATAATGCTGATGGTGATTATCAAATAATTAGAATATACAAAACAAGTGATGCAGAATGCAATTGCTCACCGCCCACCGCCTGATACCCAGTCAGCTCCCGAGAAGCGGCCCCCAGCCGGCTTTCCCCCTAGTTTATATACTGAGCATGACGTCATATGGTCTGGAACATCCCTTTGGCCACTTGGGGTCAGCTGTCCTGGCTGTGTCCCCTCCCAGCTCCTTGTGTACTCCCAGCCTAAACACTGATGGGGTGGTGTGAGCAGCTGAAAAGTCCTTGACTTAGTGTAAACACTACTTAGCAACAACTAAAATATCAGTGTGTTTACCAACATTGTTCTCATCCAAAATCCAAATCACAACACTGTACCACCTCCTAGGAAGAAAATTAACTGTCCCAGCCAAAACCAGGACACCAGGATACTCTAACTGGGTCAACTGGGAGCATCCCTTCACTGAACTGATCTTGCTGGTCAAGACCCATCTGTGCTGGCACGGCAGGGACCTCGAGTCCATGCAAGCAGGGTTAATTGCTTCTGGGGTTTCTCAAGGGCTGTCCCTGATATGGGGCAGGATCAACTTCCCCATGCCCTTCTCCACTCACCTCTGGCGGTCAGGATCCACGGGACACTCAACCTTGAAAGCGTGACCCGTCTGAGGCTGCTCCGGCGCTGGTACCCGCAGGAGTAGGTGCCGCTGCTCTCTGCGGAGAGCTGGATGGTGAGTGTGGAGGTGAACTGGCTTTTTCCCACTGGGTGGTTCGCCAGCTCCATCCCGTTCTTGCAGAAGAAGATGTGGGTGATGGGGACACGGGAAAAAACAAGGCACCGGGCAACAATCAAGTCACCTTCCTGAGCTGAGGAGATGTTTGGAAAGAGTGCTGGTGGGGGAAAGTCACCTGGAAGAGTAAAGAGATGTGGTCATGGTGTGATGACACAGAGGTGAGCACTGGTGAGCACCGGACTTTCAGCACTCTAATCTCAGAATTGACCTTGCAGCTGCTTTTTGGTGGTAACAGCGAATTAAAGAGGGGAAAAGAAAGAAGAGCTTGGAAGAGCCTGTTTTTCGGTCATCTGACGACTCAAAATACTTTGACTGTAGGAAAGCAAAAGTGCTGCTCATTTCAGGAGTTGACACTGATGCAGGTAAACACATTGGGAAAAAAAATGTGGGTAAATACAGTGAAAAATATTTCTAGTGACTGAAACATTTTTTTTTTCCATCCAAGCTGAGTATTTCAGAAAAGACTCTGATGAAATATGTGAATTTGTGGACAACAAAGCACGTCATTGTGATATTTCCAAAGGGGAATGTTTTAATTTTCTTTAATTTCAAGCCAATATTTCATAGAATCATAGAATACCAGGTTGGAAGTGGCTTCAAGGATCATCTGGTCCAACCTTTCTTGTCAAAAGATTTCCTTCTCCATCATAAAATTAAAAATTGCAGCTTCCTCTGCCAAAATCCTCTCTAGCAAAACTGGTATCTTTCATGCTACACTCTACCAAATATATATATATATATATTGTTAGGTTTTTGTTTTGTTTTGGTTTTTTTTTTTTTTTTCATTTTGGCTTGCCTTCTACCTTGAAAGGAAACACCAGCCCCAGGATCAGAGCTGCATTTTTGAACACCCCAGGATCAGGAGACACCATCCAAAGGACACAAGCAACATTACAATGTGGACCTGGAAGGTTTTTCCAACCACTCCTTTCCACCTGCACTCACCTGGGGAGCTGCAGGTCTCTGACTCCATCCCACCAGCACCTGTATGGGACAGCAGAAGGGGTTGGCCTGAGATGGTCTGCTGGTCTAGGAGAGGACACCTTGCAGTGCACATTTCTGAGGTTGGAGATGCAACCTTGGGAAAGCTTGCAGAAAATGGGGAGAGTTTCCTGCAGACCTCAGCACGACGGAGGTCAGAAATCACCAGTGCATAGCAAACAGGGCTTTTGGGTGATGCCTTGTCCCTTTCTGCCCAGCCAGGGACAACCACACCATCCCTGGACAAGAAGAGGGAACAATCCTGTGCTCATGAATCACTACAAGGATGCAGTTCCCTTTGTGGGATCTGCCACCTTACATCTCTCTTGGCAAAATAAGTCCCTGGCCAAGGGTTGTCCACAAGCTGCCACAGCAAAGATGAACCTTCAGACTCCCCCAAAAGACTATCCGTTGTTTTCAGACTGTTGGACTCCTTAGAAATCACTCCAGAAACCCACAATTTTTGCTCTTGGCTGATGCCTCAACTTTGTCTCTGGAGATTTCCCAAGGGGACTGCTTAAAATTCACCTCACGCCAGCCCATGGTGCTGCCCCTCAGTGTGACTCTCCAAATTGCCCCCCAGACACCCTGCCCGGCCACCTACCTGCCAGCCAGCCCAGCAAGAGCAGGGTACCCGCTGCCTCGGCCAGCCAGCTCCTCTTCACCATGATTATCTGCAAGCAGTGCTGAGCTCCTCAGGACCAAGCCACAGGGGAAAGGGGAAGCTGAGGCTGGTTTCCTCCCAGTGGTTCATTCCCTGGGACATGACCCAGCATCTTCTGGGGGAGGAGCAAGCAAGGGGACGGGACAGACAGGGTGAGTATTGCCACATCAGGTGCATGCACATGAGCTTGCAAACTGGGCAGCAGCACCTGGGACTTTCCTCCCCCACCCAAAAAGAGACCTCAGAAGAGGCTGCTTCGTCATGGTGTTTTGCACCACGTTCGTGGGCGCCGGTTTTTGGGTGGCTCAGGGTCCATCACAACTGTTGCCAGTGGCACACAACATCTCCCAGCAGGTTTCCGTCATCCTGGAGCGGGGGGAACCAGCTCCCCCCAGTTCTCGCTATAGCCTCAGCCCTGAGGTTCCCATTTGTTCGTTCCTCACAATACAAATATGCAATATCCTTTCAACGTCATTGGGAAGAACAGAGTTTCTTAATTTCTTTTTTTTCTTTTTTTTTTTTTTTTCTTTTTGTGTGTGTCTCAACCCTAGACTGACATGCAACCCAGCTGCCGACACAGAAGTGCTGTTTCAAATGCCCTGGACTTGTGAGGGAAACCTAGGGGATCCCCAGAGTTATTGGATACCTTTACCTTCTAAAAACCAAGCTTGGAGCTCCACTGACAGGAGCTCAGTGACTTGACTAGTGTGGAACTGAGGCTTGTAAAATCCCCATCTGCCCAGCGTGCAGTGGGAGAAGGGTCTTCAGCTCATTCTTCTCTGAGCTTTCATGGATGGAAAGGGGTCTGTGTGGTCCTGTGTGAATCCTCCCAAGTCCAGACCCTCCCAGCCCTGTGAATCCTCCCGTTTTCTGCACAATCACTGGGTTTAGTCCCTGGGCTCCATCCCCAGGGGTGCTGGAATTCAACTTGTTGGGATCCATCATTCCCTGGTGGGTCAAGCCATCTCTGTGGGGCAGGCATGGAGATGATGTCCACCAAGGAGAAGCAGCTTTGACTCTGAAGTTAAAGGAGTGCACCCACCAGAAAATCAACTGAAATAAACCTTTCTCCCCTTTTCCCCTCTCCTGCACGTTTCTTTTGCGTGCTGCTCACTTTCAGTTTCCTTTTTGAATATATATTTGTATTTCCTGGCCTGTGGTGTTTCTCTTTTCTGGTAACCAAAGGGTGAAACATGACTTGGGGAGGGCTTAGGCTTGATGTTGGGGAGAACATGGGGTGAGGTCCCAGAGCTCCTGCAAGGCTTTCCAGTGGTCCACATCTTCTCTAGCCTTGAGTAAGCTTTGGAATGTCATGAAGAAAATGAAAATAAAAGGCTTTAAACAACAGAAAACAGTTACAGTTCATCCCAGAGCACAAGCGACATGGGAAATTCCCAGAGTGTTTGGAAAACATGGCAGCTTGAAAGAAAAATGCAAACAATAAGCCAGAACCACTTTTAAGCTAATTTTCCCTAGATGCATCCAAACTGATTCAAGAGAGAGCTCCCTCAAATGCTGCATTATGAAGGACAGCTTGTTTCCTACCACAACTATTTTTTTTTTTTTTTTTTTTTTTTTTAACCCAGTAAACCAAGGAAGAAAAGCCAGGGCTTGTCTGTCTTCTAGAAATAGCATAACGGTGGACTGGGGTTTGCTGTGAGGTCATGCACCTCCAACATCTCAGGGCCTGAGAAGGGTTTAACGATGTAACCTCAAAGCCCCTGTGCTCCTGTGGTGCTTGGAGTGGGGGGGTCCCTCTTTAGGGAGGGGTCTGGGGGATCATTGCAGCTTGGGGCTGGGAAGGTGCAACCTGGTGGGGTGCAGGCACGTGAACTGCAATTTGTTCTCCTCTGGCTCCATCCCTCTCTCCAGAGGATCCTCTTGACCCCATCAATCCTTGTCCTACCTGGCAGGGGGATGTGTGATAATCTGGACTGCCCCCCACCATCACGGACGCAGGATTTATGCAGGAAGATGAAGCTGCTTTGGGACAATTCTGGGGGTGGGGTGTGTGTCAAAGCTCCCATCCTGACCTCCACAGCAGCCTGTTGTGGGTGCTCTGTGAGTCTGGAGAAGGGTGAGGGGCTGGGCACAGAGATCCAGGAGGAAGGTGAGAAGGGACATGTGAATCATCACTGTGCTGGCACCAGAGAAGTGCGAACACGTATGAAATGGGTGGAAGAGATGGTGCAAGACTCTTGGACTGAAAGAGTATAAAGAGTGGGGAGAGAAAAAAAAGAGGATGAAGTAATAATTGATCTTCGAACTTGAGCAGGTGTCCTTGGCTCACAGTGCTTCCATAACTGAATCCATATGTGAGATTTAAGAGAAGTTCAGAACTTTCAGGAACAACAAACATACTCAAGTTGGGCTTGGGGTGATGTGAAGTAAAGAGGCACAAGGCAGCAAGACTCAGTGGTCAGGAAAGGGGAAGGAGGGTGGGAGACAAACTAACAAGTCGAGGCTCAGAGGCAGGTCAGGACATGATGCCTCCTGCCTTCATCTTGGAGCTGCATGAGGGGAGTGGGGGGACTCAGAGAAGCAAAACCTTGCCTGTCAGTAAGGCCACTGTCTGTATGTCTGGCCAGATGCTACTTCAGCACCCTTCATCACACCTACAGTCCAGAGACTGGGAAGAGCAAGGGGAGACCTCTTCCACCACTCTAAAGCTCCAAGGAACATCACTCCAAGCAGAGCTAGTGCATGCAAGGCTTCGGTAAACTTCCAGAGTGTGCTGGAAAGGTGCACCCTCTCTTCAGCATCATCCAGTCCAGCCGACAGTCAACGGGGCTTATAGCTATGCAAAGCACTGGTCCAGTTTCCAGACCTCCAGCCATCTGGCATCCACCACCTTATTTTGGCCCCTGACTTGGAGATTTGCTGTTGCTGCTGCTGATTCCGATTCTGCTTCAATCCCCACCCCTGCAAAGCATCATGGGGACAAACGTCTTTCTGAAGGAGTGCTTGGGTTGATGTTGGGGAGCAGCAGGGAAATCTCATTTCTAAATATATGAGCCACTGCTGCACGCACAAAGCGGTGGCCATGCTGAGCGGTAGCGTGGGCGACTTCTGAGCACGCAGAGCGAGCAGGAGGCGAATACCTCGCTGCTGAGAGAGTGGACGTGGGGAAGGGAGGGCTTTTTTTAGAGCAAGGTTGCTCGAGGACCAGCAGCTGCAGCGAGATGCAGAGCCTGGGCTGAGCTGAGATGGTGCTGAGCCTGGCTGAGCCCATCCTGCAAGGTGGGATCCACTCTCCTCTAAGGGGAAGTCTCGAGAGGCCGTGCTCCTGACGGCCCGTTGGAAAGCCATGAGCATCCCCCTGCACTCACCTTTCTACCAACCAGATCCTTTACAACCCCTCTCCTTTAGAATAGGGCTCCCAAATTTCCACGTCTTCACATGCTCGTGTGCAGTGCACAGGTAAGAGCCTGGTATATCTCGGGTGTGCTGTGGGTTTACAGATTGCCTCTACCCCTCCACCTTTGCTGCTGCTCGTCTCCACAGGACGTGAAAATCCCATGCTGGTGGCTAAATCCCTCCCTCCTCCATGCAGACAGGCAGGCTGCTGTCATAGTGTGTGCCACCCCTTTCCTTGGCCACTCTGCCTCCTCTACAATGGCTCCACCTGCAAAAAAACCCTTCTCAAGGTGCTGCTTCTCCATTGCCCTCCTAGTTCCCAGGCTCTTAACAGAGAAAGCTGGGTCTTCCCTGAACCACTCCGCTTGCAGGGTCAGAAGCGCAGCTCTGGGCAGGAGAGGACCCATGGCGAAACTGAGTCAATAACTGATCCCTGACGTGGGTTTTGCCATGGAACAGAGGCGAGGAGAGCCTGCTTGCTGTGAGCCACCCAGGCCCCATGGCAAAAGCAGACCTCAGGGTGTTCAGACCCCCCACAGCCAGTGGAACCAGCCATGACAGGCACCAAGAAAAGCCCAAGATGATGAGCAGGGGCCATCACAGGACAACCAACAGATTTTCAGGCTCCTCTTTAGAGAAAGGCACCTCCGGCTACAGGCGGGTTGTTCCCTGGAGCAGCAAATCCCAGCGTGGACACCTCTCCTTCTGCTCCCCCAGCTGCTCAGAAAGCAGAATCTGCCAGCTTGCCAGCCACCGATGGGGGAAGGTCCCAAGGGGTATGGCGGCGTGGGCGCCCACACCAGGTCTCCTCACTGGTGTCTTGCTGCTGTTAGATGAGTCGGAGAGGGGCACGTCTGCGGGACAGGGAGGGGGCTGCCAGACTTTGGGGCATGGGCACTTGGTCTTGGTGAGATCTGGGTTAAATAAGAAGAGTAGTTTCAAATAAGATGTATCTCATCCCATTCCCTGAAGATCTCTGCACAGGCCTGCCTAACCTGACCTGCTGTGTGTAAAGCGTCTTGCAAGGTCAATTACCAACGTGTGCAGAACACCAGCTCCATGTTCTATTTAGCAGACCCAAATCCCATATTCCCATCCCTATATCGCAACAGGAGAAGAGTGATGTACGGCTGATTTCTTTCTGTTTTATTTGTACTTAATTACTGCTCATGTTCCATAATGAGCATGCAGAGAAACACGTGCATGGGGAGATTTGTATGAGCTGGGTTGTTCCCCCGGAGTCCGGTGAAGCAAGCCAGTGGTTTCTGCTCCGGGTCTGGGACAGTCCTAGTGGTGGACAGTGAGACAGCAAAGGGCTACACTTCTTTTTCCACAAGTCAGTGTTACTGAATAGGCAGGGAGTGACTGCCCGTGAGCCCTTCCCAGCACCTCCTGCCTGCTGGACCTGCCTTGTCCACGTTGTGACCCTCCTCTCTTGCAGGACCAGGCATGCCCCCCTGGGTCCGGATCCCGTGCTCTTCCCTCACGCTGCTCCTCCAGGCATCCGTCCCCACCATCACCCTCTTCCTGGAGAGATGGGGCCACTGTGGCAGTGGATCTGGCCAGCCTGGAGACATCCCTGTCCCCATCACTCTCTGATGCCCTTGCTGCTCTGGGCTCATTGCTGTCCATTGCTGAGCAGAGTTGGAGCAGCACCACCCCCCAGGCTCCAGTTTGCGGCCAGTCCAGCTGAGGATGGCTGAGCCCATCTGCCCACAGTCAGGTCCGAGGTTTGGCTGTGCTTGGCCCTCTGTAGCCCACAGCCACCCATCTGTGGGGTGGGGGCACTCAGCTGAGAACCTCACCCAGAAGACAGGAGTGGGGGTTCTCAGCTGCAGAACAGGTGGCTACGGGGGTCTCGGCATCAGCAGCCCCCAACACATGTCCCAGGCGCAACCTTCCCCACACAGATTCTCTGGCTTCCCAAATAAAATGTCCCGCCACTAGCCTGGGATCCAAAAGTGTTTGAGAGATGTTGATGTCATTTGATGTTCCCGTGGGGATCTGGGGATGTCCCACTGCTGGGCACAGCCCAGGCACGTGCAGCTGGGGTAGCTCTGGCCCCAACCTTGCAAAGCAGGTTCGGGGACAAGGGACAGGAGGGCTTTGCAGGGAGGAGGCTGCTCCTGAGGGACGGGCAAACACGGCTCGTGCTCCTGTGCTGGAGTGTGTGGAAACAAGAGGGGGGGCTCTGCAGGCGCAGGCTCTGCAGTGGGGGCTGAGGCAGGGCCCCCACTGCTCACAGCCTCTCGTTGTGGGAAAGGCACTGCTGGCCACAGAAATACAGCAGGACCACTCCCAGGCGCGCGGCAAGCCACGGGCCAGGCAGCTCTTGAACCGCTGTCCCCAGCTCAGAGCAAAGCAGATGCTTCAAGGACACGGTGCTCCCGCAGTGCCCCAGAAAATGCGGGGGCAGCTGGGATGTGCCAGGCTGTGTCCTCCCGTTCCCTCCTTGCTGCTGCTGCTGCTGCTTGGTGAGTCGGGGATTTCTCTGCCTTGGGGCTCAGGACCCGAGGGCTGCCGAGCGGGGCAGGACTGGGAACGTCCTGGGCACAGGGGAGGGTGGGAGAGGGTGTGTGGAGCAGCCGGGCAGCAATGAGGGGCAGAGTTGCTTTGATGATGGGTGGCAGATGATGTTGTTCTCCAGCTACAGCCCAGCTCTGAGCAAATATCATCTTATTCCGGCTGTACTAAGGGGGTTCAGGTGATAGTGGGAGACTTGGTAGATGCTGGAGTGCTTTGGGGATCCAGGGTCACCCACCTAAAACCACAGACCCATCCAACACAGGCCTGTGG